GCTTGAGGTTCTGTTGAAAAAAATCCTTTTCTACACCTACATCTTCAAGTATTTACCTATTATATCTTGCAGAATGTTTAGTGCTTCTGTTTTAATGTTTAGATTTTTGGCCCATTTTATTTTAAATTAATATAGGGTTAGATAAAAGGCCCAGTTTTATTATTCTGCAAACAGATAGCCAGTTTTTCCAACAACATTTGTTTAATAGGCTATCTTTCCTCCAACACATGGCTTTGGTCTTTTTGTCAGTGATTGGATAGTTAGATATGTCTGGTGAAGTTACTGTATCCTCAATTCTGTTCCATTAATCCATGTGTCTTTCTTTTATTATTCCAGTCCCACACCATTTTACCACTATTGAAAAGCTACCATTTTAAGGTGTTGTACAGGTTGTTCTGCCACTTAGACCATATAACCAAGAATTTCTAGATACATGATTTATGGAGCATCTGGAAAGACTCCACAGGTGAATCACAGAAAAAGCCTTTAGGATTTTGGGGGAGATGCTCCCATAATTTACAGACAGCTACTCTTGTGACCTGCTACTTGGCTTTACTGGAAATGGAAAGTTTGACCATGGAATACCATGTTGCCATACAACCTCAGCTGACCATCATGAGCTAGGTGCTGTAGGGTCCAGTGAGTAGTCACAAAATTGGATGAGCTGTGCAATAGCCCACCATCACCAAGAAATGGATTATGTGTGATTAGGTCCTTGCAGATCCTGAAGGCAAAAGTAAGTTAAATAACTAAGTGGCCTAAGCTCCCATGATTGCTGCTTCTGCTAAACTGCCTTCTCTGTTCCTCACCATGTATCTACAGTTTATGAAGTGTACTCTATGATCTCTTTACAGAGGAAGAGAAAACTAACGCCTGGCTTATAGATGATCTTTCATGTTATGCAGGAATCATCTGACAGTAGACAGATGGAGCAATAAAACCTTTTTCCAGAACATCCCTGAAGGACAGTGATTAAGAAAAGTCTTCACAATGGGCAGAACTTCTGGCAGTGCATCTAGCTAAACATTCCACAAAGAAGAAAAATTACCCTAATAAAAAGAAGAAAATTACATTACCTAAAAAAAAGAAGAAAAAAAAAAGAAAATTGACAAGACATGTGGCTATATTTGCATCAATTAATTAATGAGACATAGCCAATGATCTGATTGGATGGTCATAAAATTGGAAGAAAACTGATTGCAAAATTGATGACAAAGACATATGACAGTGAGGTGTGTGGATAGAATTCATATAGGTAACAGATGTAAAAATATTTGTCCTAAATAAAGGCTCATGAAAATGTTGTTTCTGCACAGAAAGACTTAAACATCATAAACAGGATGACCCATTCTGTAAATAGCAGTCAATTTCTTCCTCAGCCACCCATGTCAGTACACAATATGCTTAGGAACAAAGTAATTATGGTGGCAGAAGTGGAGGTTATATGTGGGCTCAGCAGCTTTGACTATCATTCACGGAGGCTGACACACCTATGGCAAATGATGAATGCCAATCTGTTATCAGCAGGGACAAATACTAGTCCTTGATACACTATCAGTGCCCAACATCACCATCTAGAGACCTGATAGCAGATGGATTATACTGGACCAGTTCTATGATGAAAAGGACAGCACTTTGCCCTTCCTGGGATAGGCACTTATACTAGATATAGGTATACCTTCTGATAATGATGTAAAGGAACTGGGCAGAAGGGCTGTTATTCAGAGTCTAATCAAAGAGGCTCATATGTAAAAGGGTTGCTACTAAGAAAAGCGTCACTCCTCACTGCTCCATTAATTTTTCTCACTCCCAGCTTTATTTATCTTCAGCTCACTAATCGCTGCAAATTATAGAATTTATTTTTAAATTGATTACTGTCTTTCTCTCCCATAGTTATGTAAGTCTGATAAGGACAAGACATCTTGCCTGAGTATGCCCATAGCTTTGTACACACTTGTTAGCATAGGAAATCTACTATAAAAACATCTGTTGGATGAATGCTTCCTTTGGTACAGACAGGTTAATAGGCAGGGCCTGAAGATAATTTTTCTCATCATATTTTCTACAGTTGAAATATTTTCATATATTTATTTATTGTATTTTAGGGAAGGGTCTGCAGGGTGTTCAAGGTCTCACTACCAAACCAGACTCTTAGTGATCTACCTCTCTATAGCCTCCCAAGTGCTGAGATTACATGCATACTACCACACTCAGTCTCAATTGCCATCTCAGTAGGCCCTGGGTGCGGAGCCAACACAGCAGGCCCAGGGATCAAACCCCCAGCCCTTGTGCCTGCTTGTAGTCACTTTGATCTGCTGAGCTATTCGGCCAGCCCTATATTTTTGCTATAATTTATTTTTTCTGGTTTCAGAAAATGCAGTGAAGTATAATAACACATGTCAAAAATTTAGATTGCACTTATTTTGTTTCAACTTTTCTTAACATTTTATTTATTTGTTTACTTATTTGGCATATGGTCTCACTATGAAGTCTCACCCATAATGATCCTCCTGCCTCAGTCTTCCTAGTGTTGGGATTACAGGCATGCGCCATCACATCTGGTTTCGATGGCAGGCATGGTGCAGATCTGGCATGGCATGCAGTACTGGGGATCAAACCTGGGTCCTTGCACTTGCCAGGCAGGCCCTTACACCACTGACGTATCTCTCAAGTCCTATATTGTAATTATTTATCTAAGAATTTACAGCACATTTATTTTGCTGAAGTGCACAGATTGCTTGCTAAAATTTATGTCATTCCATAAAAAATATCATTAGAAAAATACAAATCTAAGAAAATAGCCATGAAGTCACAATAATGGTTTGTAAATGTCTCAGTCATTTCAATAATTAGAGGCAAACAGCCCAAGTAATGTAGTCTCTTAGACTTGAAACAATGTTCCTCTTCTGAAAACTCACTTGAATTGGATATTATTGGTATTTTGTATGTACAGAGGTGAGGGTAGTATATAATTCTGCTCTCTCACAGGCTGAAGAATATTTGAATTTATCAATTTTCAAAATTGCAGACTTAATTTAATTCTTACTAATAATTCCCTAGAATCACTGCTCATGCTTCCATACAAGCAACCCAGATTCAAGAAACTGCACCTGACTGATCATTCACTTCAAAACTCAGATTTGTCGAAGTCAAAATCTCCCTGGACTAGAAAAGAGCTCTGAATTGTTGGACACACTGGGCACAGAACACATGATCCCTCAGAGGCCCGTGATAAGCGAGCATTCTAAATGTCAGAGCTGAACTAATAGTTCTTGTATTACTCCATATCAGCACTCACATCTATTTCTTTCCAACCTTACATAAATGGTATCTAGCACTTGGCATTAAAGAATCCTTCATCTCCTTCAGTGTCACTGTGAGGTGTACCAGGTGGAGCAGCTTCTGGAATGGCCTGTGTTTTGTAATGTCAGGAAATCCTCAGGTTTATTGCCCATGACATACCTTCAGCTGCCCAGAAGATTGCCTCCTGCCTTCCACATGTGGGTTATCCCTCAGGATTTCTACAGAACTCTGTCTCTGTCAGGTCAAGACTGGCTTTTCTAAGCCAGTAGTAGATTGGCTGTCTATATACCTCTATTTTGAAATTGTTGCAATGTGACAGGGAAATGTCCCCCATGATTCATTCACCTCAACCTTCTCACTTTAGGAGGAAAGATGTAGTGATTTCTAGAGAACTGAAAACCAATTAATGGTAGAGAAAGAATTAAAACAAGATTTCCTGACTTCCACGGGGAGCTACTCTGTCCACAGACTGCTCAAGGTCTCTAATATTCAAGCAGGTATTATATGAAAGGTTTTTGCTTGTTTTTGTTGTTTACCTACTTTAACAGAGACAAAGGCATGGTGTCCGTGCTACGATATGAGGATGGCTTTACAGACAATACTATAACACTTTTGATGTTGACTTTGCAATCACATGTCCTAGGGACTACCCTTTTCATCCTCTCTGAAGGAATACACACTTAAGAGGTCTTCTGGTATACTTTTCTCAGGGAAAAACTCAGATGCTCCAGAAAGAGAGAACTATCCCATAGAAGGCACTTTCTATGTGGTGTGTCTTCTTGATCACGCAAGAGTAAGGTATAACTTAATAATGAAAATGGAAATTTGAAGTATATGCATGAAGGTATATTTACTAGTTTATTTTTCACTGAATTAGCAAGACAAACAACATAAGAACTTACAAATGGTGGCAAGCCCAGTGTAGGGGATGTTGGCTCTCAATGTGTTAATTTATCCTGGCCAAAGTAGCTCTATTTTAGCCTCTAACCTATCTTAGAGATAGGAGATGCCTGGGTAGACTCAATTCTCCATGACCCTTCCTGGACTGTCCCACTCCCTCCCCATCCCTGCTTAGATATTGTAAACATAAAAGAGAAAAGAGAGAGTAAACAGAATAGCAAAAATTGTGCTATACCCTAATTCATCATAAATTCCCATGACTGGCCCTTGAACCACCACTGCAATAGCCACTGACTGCAACATTCCATCGTGGTGACCCTAGAAACCAAAAAGGTATCTAAGCTGAGACAAAGAAACAATAGTGTGGAAATTCCTGATTTGCTAATTAGGAATGCTCTGCCAACTACCCCAGTTGGATTAAACTCTGTTTTTCTCATATTTGTCTCTCACAGAATTATTTCATGCCACTTCACCAGGAACATTGATTATGTCATAAGCAAATAATCTATGAACAAGTAATTTTGATAGTATTGTCATCAAAATATAGATGCTGTAGGAAAAGTCACTGTAGCTCCTGAATACCATGACATACTGCACAAACTTATCTCCCAATGCATTTTTTCAAAATTAAAAGCATAAAATTTAAATTCAAATGTTTTAGGAAAATTGAAAATACATATGGCATAGAATCATTGTTAATCAGCTACTCTGTATACAAAATGCTACAAAACAAACTGATGAGAAAAAATGGTGCAAAGAGAAAAGCTTTAGTTAAATAAACTGGATCCCCATGAAAATCACATCTCTTCTAATTCTTGTTCATGTTCAGTATTTTTCAGTAGTCCAACTTCTGATGAGCAGGGCTTCTTGCTTCTGAATTTTATCAACCTGAGGAAAAATGAAATCATCTCTATTTAAATGATATCTAACATAAAAACTTTAAGTAACATGAATTAATAGAGTTCTGAAACATTAAACTCTTTGACTTATCTTTCCATGATTCACTTCCAAATGAAATTGTAAAGCACATGAAACAAGATTTTCAAACAAATGAAGTATATAATGAAATAACTCGGAAATATAGACCTACTGAAATGGCTAACAAATGTTTTAATTGTTGGGAGTCTTCCTTGAGCTCTAATAGTCCTTTATTCTATATCCATTTTTGTACCCATTTAATTGTCCATTTCTATAATTTAGTTCTAAAATAAGACGAAAAATTCTTCATGGGCAAGATCTATACCTCATTTTTATCCTAAAGGAGATGTAGAGTGAAGAAGAAGAGGAGAAAAGAACAAGAATGCAATAATATTTACTGAGCTCTTATTATGTCTAAAGCAGTTAAACACATGATCTCATTTAACAACTAGCACTATCCCTATTTTGCAAACAATGAAATTTGATGTGGTAAAGTATTTGTCCTGAAGTCATACATGCAAGAGCAGCAGACCTGAGCATGTATGTTCTTATTACACTGTTATATTGCTCCTTATCATCTTGTGGAATTTTGGGTTAGCATGCTTGTAAAAAAAATTCACTCAACATTTAGATATATTAAACTCTAAGTAAAGTTAATCTAATCAGCCACATAAATTTAATAGGACTCATTCAAGCTACTGAAAAAATGTCTCAAAGTTTATGCTGTACTGAACATATGTATACACGAGTAAATGAGGAGTCACCTTAGGCAGGGCAGGCCATCCAGGAAAAGAATCAGTTTATGCAAAGATGTGGAGGCTAGAAAGATTGGGCTGAAGGGAGATACAGGACTCAGAGGCACAGCATAGACACTGTTCAACTGTTCCCACTTCCAACCAGCAAGTATTCTCTTTATTGGCAGTTTCTGTATTTGCACATACAGTGGACCTTTGAGTTATGACCAGCCTCACACATGGGAAACTTGAGTTACAACCAGAATTGTAGGTCTAACTTATGACCAAGTGTCACATAAGCATATGTAATTTGAGCCCAGATTCCTGAAATTCTTATATAAGTGGACTCTCCTTCCAAGTGATAACCATGTTCCATTTCATCCACCCTTGCTATGAGCCAAAGGTGTCAATCTGAATGATGAGTACAATGTGAAATTGTTTCTGGTAAACTAAGATATTCTGTTTGGTGAACACAATAGGAAAGTTATTGGTGTCTGTGGTAAATCAAATACATTGTACAACCATTTCTTAACAGGAAAAGTTAGTTCATAGGTGCTTGGGGGGTGCAGAGCACATTATGGACATTTGCACTATTTCTTATTGGAAATATAGTCTTCATTTACAGCCAACGTTAGTGACAACCAGCCCTCATGAATGGAGTTCATAACTCAAGGGTCCACTTTCTGTTGTACTACCCCATCTTATGGGAATTTCCCTTTAAATTTTAAGTTCAATCTTTTTTAGTCAAGATGATCACTTTATGAGTAACAGAACTTCCCTGAACATATATCTTTAACTTACCAGCTGATAAATGCATAATTTGCTCCAATGATGATATAGGTCAGTGCAAAATGCCAACAAAAACACACAGTGAGAAACCTGCTATTTTCATAATCCATCAGATCCCATATAGGACTTCCCTTTGGGGGAAATAGGACATAAGCAATCTGTAATTCAAAACACAAAGTACATAAAGTAATCAGCCACATTTCCAAAGATAATGGCTAGTAATAGTGATAACTCTCATTATGTAAGAAATCATAGACAAAAACATTAGACCTTGCTGCCTGTTTTAGCAATACACAATATCTACTGACTCATACTGTTTAAAAACTTTTTAAAACGTTAATGATCAATTTTCAACATTTTAGTACTGATCATCTCTGAGTCTAGGTCTTAAACATAAAATACTTTAGCATGTCCTATGTTTTTACATTGTGCTGTTTTGTACTTTTTCAGAGAGTAGAAATAATTTCTAAAATATATACAAATAGGTTCCAGCGGACGGTGAGGAACACGCAGCCCTGAAGGGTCAAAAGAAATATAGAAGCAAAGGCTTTTTTTTTCTCTCCTTTGGTTTTTTTCTTTCTTTTCTCTCTTTTTCTCTCTTTCTTTTTTTCTTTTTCAAGATTGTAGTCCTGCTACCCTGCGCCAGCGGGACCAGTCCCAGCCCAGGCGCAGCGTGGGCCGGACCCTCTCCCAGCCCCTCGGGCCGCCCCCCACCACT